ACCTCTAGAGTCTATCTTCTTGTTAGTTTCAGACCCATATCGTCTCTCATCCAGACATATAATCTTTCTCCTTTTTCATGACTTGTCAACTGTAATAATACCTTCCTAGCAGTATTTCATGTCACTACAAACGCATATTTTTATCCATTGCTTTATAATAGTGTTCCCCAAAGTTGTTTTTCTCCACACACTAATTTTTATAATATGCATTAATTATAAAGAACCCAGCACAGTTCTGGTAAATGGTAAAGTCCATGTAAATTTTTCTTGAGTAAATTACATTTGTTAAGAGCCTATTCTACACTGAGATGTATGGGGAACACAAGGGAGAGCTCGAGAGTAATAAAAGTCCATGTTTACAGAAAAGGGAAGTGGTAAAATTACCCAAGAAAAACAGATTGTGGAAAACTAAGTATCCATCAATAGAATGGGATATATGGCATAGAAGGAATCAGGGTTATCTGGTAGGTTGAAACATTTCAGGCATCTGCAATGCCGGATTGCAAAGCAGTAAGGTTAAATTTACATCCTCTCCAACTTTTCCTCCCTGAAATAATCCCTACAATGATGACTTGTGTGTATGTCTGTGCTCGCTTACATGCGTGTGTGTGTGTGCGTGTGTGCACAAGCGTGCTTACTCACACATTTATCTACTGAACAAAAGCCTTTTCCAAAAGTCTGTTTCTATATTCTGGGACCCCCAGCCCTTTGCTTTCTTAAACATCTTACTTACCCATGTCATAGCACAGCATCAGTTTCAGAGAAAAGGAGAGCAACTTAGAGATCCTGATGCTTTGCTAGTGTGGCAATCTCCTTTCGGAAAGCTCAATTTAGATCTTCTATGCAGCAGCACATATAGGGGCAAATAATCTGTCTTCTGGTTTTGCACCCCCATTCCCTTCTTCCATGTTCAATGAGTTCTGTTACATTCTCTCCTATGACTCTCTTATATTCTCTCTTGGGATCTCAAATTTTGACTAATTATCATCATAAAGGAGGTTTGGGCGGAGTGACTGATTTTGGCCCTGAATAAGCTATTAGAGCTCCACCAACTTTTCCTTCTAGGTCATCTACATTCATGGGGTCAGACAGGGGTATTCAGCAGACTCAAGTAACCCTCTTGGAGGCTTCTTGCTTTCCCAGGAAAGCTGCAGAGCATGTAGCATTCAACTGCATCCATGCTTATATAGGCTTTTCACATTGGGGATAATCAACTGATTATCATAGAATGATACTATTCTTTCAAACAAAGTTGAGCCGATGAGTCTGCATTTGGTGTTTTCTGTATCTGCAACCTACAAGAGCAAATAGCAAATAGCAAACAGCAATTGCAGTATTTTCAGCTTTACTTTTCATGTTCAGTCGTCTTTGAAATCAGCTGAAACAACTGACCCTGTGAAAGCTGATTTACCCAACCACACTTGGTACAAGCAGGTGGGCTTGGGAATCTATAGCCCGAACGGGCTAAGTCTGTGAAGCATTAGCCCCAAACCAGTCAAATGCATTACACAGCTTTCGAGGAGGCATCATAAATGAAGTTACTATGACAGACCATGAGAAGCATATGCTTTTGGAACCCTGGAATTACAAAGTCATGGTCTACAAAGATGGACTAGGATCATTTTGCTGGTGCTCCCCAGTATCCTTCTTTATAATCAAAGATGTTGCTTAAATACGTTGTCCTCCATATATTGCCCCGAGCAAGAGGGACCAACTTCTAGTTACCTCACTCATCTCATCTGTGACATGGTTGGACTGATAAATAGAGGCAGCCAAGTAAAACAGCTGCTGCTAGCCCTAGCCTGGGCTGGCCAGGTCTAACTACCTCTATGTATTTGAGTACATCAGTGGGGTACCTGCCCTGTTTTCCTTGGGTGAGAAGCTCATGTTTCTACAAATAAATAAATAAATATCCAGAAAAACTCACTACTCTGTCACAGATGGCAGAAAAATGCATTCTGTGTATCTGACTATTCCCCTAAGAGCACATTTTCTTTTCACCCTAGGAATGCTATCAAACAAAATGTGGTTCAACACTGGCATCCTGTGGCCAGAGAAATTCATCAAATCTCAGAAAACCTCAGATCCCCTGGTTCTGAGCATTCCTGGCTATCTGTGCCAAGCAGCTTTCTCACCATTTTCTGAAGGCTGTTCGGTTACCTCACATTGTTTCTGGAAGCACCTTACGTAAGATGTATTTTGATCAACTATCATTTCAGAAGGCTAACCTGTTCATGTATATTAGGGTGAAAATAAATGAGAGTAGAAGGTCTAAAGAATGTTCCCCAACAACAATAACAAAAATCTGATACCAAATCACAGAAGCTCTCCATGTTCACACTGAGATTTTTCCTAATGAGGAGGCAGTTGGGAAAAAGGCAAGGTAAGTGGGCAGGACTCCGCTGTTTGTGTGTCTGTGTATGAGTGCTTTGCTTTGGCCAAAGGCTAGGAAAATACTTGCTATTGCAGCAATAAATATTATGAATTTTCTTTATTTTACTGCAAGAATGCTGCCTAAGAGGAAAATCAAACAAAATTATGGAGGATTGTTGTTTTTGCTACTCACTTTCAAGGCAGCTATAAAGATAAAGGGTTACAAGGCTCGCAGTTTAAAGGCAGAATTGCCATGCTCCCTGGTAAGACTTAATGGCATTTTTGAGATCCAAATAACCATTATGGGACTACTGCATCGTGGCTGCTTTCACAAATGGCTACACTAAATTTGGAGTCCTTGAAGATGTTTGAAACATCATTAGAGACAGAAAAACAAAGAAAAAAAACCTTCAACATCACATGAGCATGGAAAACCATCAAAGAGGGGTCAAGTGTGAAAAGCGGTAGCTGGTATACCCTGACAAAGAAATGTGCAAAATACATGCGTGCATGTGAGCAACAGGAAAGGACATTTAGAGGTGGCTGCCTCCCAACAAGAGGAACACAATCCCTACTATGTGAGAGAAGACATGGAATTTGCTCTTTCATCATGCTTCTTCTCATCATACCCATCTGTAAGGGTACTAGCTCTTTCTTCCTCAGTTCTCTGGCTTTTCCATGGTGCTCAGGGGATTTGAACGGTCTCTAGCCAGGATCTGAGATAGACACAGTCCTCACAGTGATGAGCGCTAATCTCTCCTAAACATTGGTAATAGGGATGGTAGTTATTGTTTAACAGTATTCTTTTTCATTTCAGAAAAGCCTCAATATTTATTGCCTACAATGGACAAAATGGGACTAAAAATATTCCACAGAAAACTAGTGTGATCTAACAAGAAATCGAGATTAAATGCCCTGTGAGACAATCAGTGTGCCTGTGTTAGCCTTGAGGAACCAAACTTTTATAGTAATACCTATTCAGGGAATAGTGTTGGCAGCTGGAAAACAAAATTCAGATATAAATAGCAGCATAAGGTCTAAAGATACCAAATACCAATTAAAAGCTAATAAAGAGAAGCAGCAAAAGTCTATTTTAAATGGCTGACTTCTAAATGAGTTTGTGTAGCATACTAGAGAGTCAATATGTAGATATATTATAACGTTTATTTTTTTTGTTTGTTTCTGAGTTTTAGGAACACTGACATGATTTATTAACAATTTTATTAGAAATATCAGAAATCTCCCCGAACTTTTTACCAGGTTTTTAAAAATTAATTATGATAAAAGAAGTAAATTCAAGTAAGCGAGAACGAAAGTTGTTTTCTAAACTCCCCTAACTAACCAGCAAGAACATGGCTGTTCATCTGGCTATATTTTTCACTTCTCTCTTGTCCCTCAGGCACCCACTCTACAAAGACCCTGGACTTTGAAGTCCAGCAGATGTGGGTTCAAATCCTGATCAATGGTTTAAAATCTGTACACTCAAAAACAAATTCTCTATCGCCCTTAGTCCTGTTTCCCATCAGAAATAAGACTAATAAGCACTAAACTCAGAAACTAATAAGCACTAAAGCTCAGAAATACATGGAGCCTATGTAGGACAGAACGAGATGGTATAAGGGAAAGCCTCACTCAGCAGAGATCCTGACAGATAGAGGCTGTTCTAATCACCCTTTCTATCTACTGATCTCCTATTTTTCCTCTTCTCCCAACCTACTTGGTCCCCAAGACCTATTGGGTTTTCCTCTTTAATATCTTTCACTTTCTCTTGGACCCTGTCAGCATTGTCCATGTTCAGAGCCTTCTCGGTCCTGATGCAGGGTTACCGTGGTAACTGCCAATCTTGAGTCTCTTCAGCCTTGACCCTCTCTAATCCATTCTCACTGTACCCAGAATGATTTTTATAAAACATAGCGCTGCCTGAGTTTGAATTCTAGCTGCTCTACCTAATATGTGCATGACTTGGCACAAGTCACACGAATTCTTCTACTGTATAACTCAAAATCTATAAAATGGGGATAATGATTTTTTCCTACATCAGAAGGTTATTATAAGGATTAAACAGGGCCATATATGTGCTAACACATAGAAATCACAACATAAATGTGAGCTATTATTCTTCTCTTCATTGTTCTTGCTCTTCTCATGGCCCTTCAGTGTTCACCATGCCTATTAAACAGGGTACTGTCATAATCATATTTGAGACCTTTGTAAGACTCTGCCCAACTCCCTCTCAAACCTCATATCAATCAGCAAGTAGCATGTTATGATATAGAATCAATAAGCTGAGCTCAACCCAGAATAAAAAATAATTAGGTTAGTAAGGGAGTCAGGAAAGCAATTAGGTCATTTATAGAACTGCTGATAAAATTCTATCTACAAAAGCTCTCTTAAGAAGTGATTAGAGCAGCTCAGACTAAATATCCGGAAAGGATTGAGTGGCTGTACCCTAAACATCCTTCCTGCTTCTTCTTCTCCTACTTCTAATTAAAATGCAATAATGTCTTTAAACTAGCAGTTGCCTTACTTGTATTTTTCACTTTAAAGTTCATGCGTGTATATACACATAGATGAGTTTTCTACAACGCCATCTCTCATGAGATCCTGAAACTGTGTAAAGGCCTTACCTGTCATTCTTCTAAACCACTTGGGCTTCTTGTCCCATATGATAAAGAGATAGTATGCAGGGACTCCAGTCAGAGTAATGATGAAGCCAATCCCTGTACTAAATGGGTCGGAATACAGGGAAAGGGCAACCATGAACAGACACGTGAAGGAGAACAAAGCCGGGATGAACAGCGGCACCTGGAACACAGCACAGAAAAAAAAAAAAAATCACTTCGAACAGTTCTAGAGACAGAAGATGGGTTCAAGAAGAGCACATCAGGGGCACCTGGGTGACTCAGGCAGTTGAACGTCGTATTCAGCTCAGGTCATGATCTCAGGGTTTGGGAGTTTGAGCCCTACGTCAGGCTCTGTGCTGACAGCTCAGCACCTGGACCCTGCTTCGGATTCTGTGTCTCCCTCTCTCTCTGCTCCTCCCCCATTTGCGCGCTCTCTCTCTCTCTGTCTCAAAAATAAATAAACATAAAAAAAAAGAAGAGCGCCTCGGTCAAGTCACATGATCGGATCATCCCCGCTGGTCATGTGAGCAGGTGATGGCACCATCCTACCTCACCTTGATAGGAACAGCTCTTTAATAGGGCACAGCGAATGTGGAAACCTACTCCCTTAAATTAAAAAAAAAAAAAACCTTTGGAAAGAATAAGCCTAGGATAAAGAAGTATATTTCATTAGAGGGGTTTTCTTTGAATTGTTTCACTAGTTAAGTACCATTATGATTTATGTTTTTGATTTGAAAAGGTTGGCTCCTTGATAATTATGATTAGAATCCGCTTGAATGTAGAGTCAAGAGCACGGGCTGCTTGTTACATGTGAAAGCCTTTCAGTGCATATTGATTTTCTGCTGGACACTCACAATAAGAACTGACAGGAATAAAACAGACCAACTCCTATTCAACCGCTAATAAAGATGTTTCCAGCATTAGGCAATGGATGTAATTAGAAACAAATTCTGACAACACGACTGACAACATTATCTGTGTTATTTCTTAAAAGCAAATAGATAGTGAGGTCAAATCAATCCATGAAGGTTCAAGGCTAAAGGAGTTGAGAAACATATTCGTCAGCCCTCACAAAAAGAAATGCTTAGTTACGGTGAAGGGTGTTCTGTTAAGGGTACATTTATACGTCTTCACTTTCCCTATTTATTTTACATTTTTATTCCTTCTAGAATATTCCTTCTAGAATGCATAAAAAGAGCAACATAACAACATAACATTTAAGAAAACTTAAAATGCCTGTTTTGTACAGTGGCATCCTGTTTAGGGTTTCAATTAGTGACCATTCTGCATGTATCTGTCTCCATCTTTCTCAGCATGGCTATCCACGATTATACAGCATAAAAACACAAGTATCCCATACTGTGAACACATCAGGCCATTAGACACATTCAAGAAAAAGCAACATAACAAATACCCTCTACGTCTACCACTTTTCAGAAATGTGACATATAAAGCTAGGCGCCTCACATAAACGACTTGATGAATTATTTTTCCAAGCTCAAATAAATCCAATATGAAGGCACTACCTGCAAGAGTTAAGCATTTTACTCCAGAGGATGCTGCTCCCTGCCCAAGTTCCTCATCATCAAGTTATGACAAAGGGAGGCCTAGGTATTAGGGGAAAGATTTATGTAAACCCATCAAGATGACTGAGGTTACCTTGAAAGGACGATGCATATCTGGGCGTTTGTATCGAAGATAAATCAGCCCAGCGACCGCCAGCCCAATAAAAAGCCACCTGGCAAAACTGAGGAAATTCAAAAGGCTGTAGAGGTCCCCAGAGAAGAGCATTATCATCGTCAAGGGGTGCTGGGGGAGGGGAGAAAAACCACACTCAGTGAGTTAAAAGAGAACACAACTGATAACAAACAATAACATCACTACAAATTACGATTATCTTTTTCATGATTATTTATACCGATAATCTACCATAGGGATTAAAACCGATACGCAACTAACTTCCTATCTATATTCTGCTCTTATACTCCATTACACACCAGTCGCAGCATGAGAAGATCATCATTACCACTTAATCAGAGGGAATTTTATATGGATGTTTAGTTTTTGGTCACTTTTTTTTTTTCATTTGAGAGAAGAGAATGTGTTTTCAAAGAGTAAAACACCAGATAGTCAGTGACTTAAATGTAAAGATCCAGAGACTGAGAGTATTGGTAAATAACTAACGCCAAAAATCAAAAGTGTACCCAATCAGAAAATCCAGAGAGCTCTGTAAATGGTTTCTGAGAAGCCCTTGGCTGTGCACCCACATGAAACACGGCCGCTTCTTGGGGATTCTGCCATCTCCTGAATGCAAAATCTTGACCTTCTCTTCCTCCACACTTACTCTCCCGTGTGCTCACCACGTGTGACCCTCAAGACCGCAGAAAAGAATGAAGCGCAGAGATCAGCTTCGCAATGTCTCTGCAGCTGTGCATGCCAAGGACGGCACCACCGATAGCCATGGCTTAAAATGAAAAGCCCTCTTCACCGAATAATACATTCTGTTCCCATAAGTGACGTTAACTTCCAGATTCCACACAGAGAGGATGCATACTTTACAAACAAATTTCAAGGAAACATTCTGGAACAGATTAAATGCATGAAGCAAAATGCCCAAGGTATTCTACGGGGCTCCTGACAGCAGATTCCATTTGACAAAAATGTTACAAAATAGTAGGTAAAAATGAATATAACGTTGCCAGTGGGTATTTGAGGACTTTTATACCTTGCACAGTCTTCTGTACCTGCCCCTTCACAACTACTTTTCTCTGCATAAAGAATTCTGTAACTCATGTTTAGTTTCGGTGCTTTTCTTTCTTCCCTTTAGAGTTACGCTTAAATATTTTCCTTTTTATCACGGAATCACTGCACTGTCTAAAATTTCATCCAATTTTTTCTCTAATTTTGCGTGCATTACATTACAAGGGGCCTATGAAATGACATCTTGGTGCTGTTGGACTGTGGCTTTTAGCTCCACTCTCAGTATGTAGAAATGGGGCTCGATGCTCTGCATTTTTCTCTGTGACGCTTTATGTCAATGACAGGAGCCAAGGAAATCATTTCCCTTAGACCTCATGCATTTCTACAAAGGTGCAAGAGAAGTGATGTGGTTATTGCCCCACAGCATCAAATATGCATCAGCAATACTGAATAAGAAATACTGGGAAGCAATGGAAAATAGTCTGCCTCTCACTCTCCACCAAGATATACATAGATCCAATTTAGCGACAAATGAGAAAGTAAAGCACTATCTACAGTCTGGTTGGGAATCCGTCTTTGGTAACCTATTATTCAAGCTTATATCTAGGTATACTTTTTAATATGCATTACCAAAACAATAACAGCTGGCAGAGGAGTGTGCTTGCGGACATGAATCATGGAGAGGATTTCTGGAAGGTGACCCTCTCGAGACGCAACATAGAATAACCTGATGGGAGAAAAATGTGGGTGGAGTTGACTGGATAATTGATCATTTCAAAGGGAAAAATCTAGACATCTAAAAGAACACTTGCATCTAATTTTATACCAAATTGTTTGTCATTTCTGAGGTGATTAATTTGATTTTGCTTTTCAGATAAGGCAGAGAATCAAAAGAAATCTGACTTCGAAGTTTAGAAAATCTGCTAACATATTATATTACTCATTGAGGAGAAACAGTAGCAACATCCAACTCAGCATAGCTCTCCCTATGTATAAATAGCTGATGGTGAATCTAGTTCTAGATTCTTAGTATTGTATGTGTGTTGTCAATCCAATTCAGCCCAATACACACACCTACACACACGTACGCATACACGCACACACAGACATGCACACATTTAAGCTTATATTTGTATTTTTCTGATTGGATTTTAATCTGACATTAAAATAAAAGGGACTTCTGCAACCAACAAAAGGAAAGGGATACACATGGTCGGGTGGTGATTTCTGGCATCTCTTACTTTACTTTTTTCTGGTCACCTTTAGAGAAACAAAAGATTTTATCACCAGAAATAAAATGCTGTTGTTAGAGTCTGTAGACACACTATTAAAAAGAAAAAAAAGAGAAAAAACTCCCTGCCCGGCTTCAGTGTAGGCTATGAATAGACGAGCAGTGCCCTCTACTGGGCAGAATGAGACATTCTATTGATAGTTGGACGAAGCACTCGATCTTCTATGCCTCTTTAAAAACAACAGGTTTGGAGGCACTATTTCTTTTCTTTTTAAACCTATCCTTATCACATCCAATCTCAAAAACAGAAATACATTTCTGGAAATGCTTGAACTCACTCACCTGGAGACAGCAAACACACCACCATTCATGGAGCCAAAGCAGGAGAGGGCAACAAAGATCGGAACTGCTAATGAGAAATTTCCCAGTAGCCGCTCAGAAAAGGTCTGGTGAGAGACGGACGAAGCAAATTAATGCTCTGCCAGAAAGTGGAATAAAATGAAACAATTTAGGCCAAACTCGCTCCCTGACTTTCTTTTTTAGTCTGGTGATACGTGTATGTTTTATAATCTTTCTTTTTGGCTAGGGTCAGGCTAACTTCTTAGACAATAATCTAAAGCAGTATCGTGGCACTGCTTCTTGCAAAACTATGGGCAAAGGTCTGAACAAGCTCCTTCTCTTCACTTCCAAAAAGCAATGATCCATTTATTGAATATTTATTAAGTATGATGTCTATCATCTCTGATTCCGGTAAGTAAAAAAAAAAGCTCGGTTCAGAAGACAGAAACCCTTCAATGCATTCTCTTTACCCTGGAAATCCACATTGTTATAGTGAGGTACAAATGTATACTGAGAAGTACTACACATAACTTGTTTCATAGACCAATCCTCCTGTTAGGACATAAAGTATAGTGACAAATAATTGATGGCTTAATCATTTATTTCACCTACATATGAGCGGTTCCAAAAATCTTGTGCCTAGAATAATCACAGTAGCTGAATCTCTCTTTATTGAGGCCCTCCCTCCCTCCCTCTCAGGGATCTGCCAATTCCTTCTGTGGTTTCCCATAAAAAGGCTAGAATACAAATGCAAGCCTGAGAAAATCAAGCCACAGAGAATATGAAAGATGATCAAAACTTCTGAAATTTCCTCTCATGCTCTGGTATATGCAATACTGCAAATTCCATGAAAGATGTATTTTCAAAAAGAAAAAAAAGTGGGATTCTTTAGTTGTCCTTGATGCAGCTGGTGCAATGTAATTAATGGACCATGTTGCACTCAAAGAGTAAGTGCTGCCCTTTGTCTAGTAAGATGAGATGACTGACCCGACATTAGCAAACTTTGTACATTTGGTTGTCTGGTAGGACTTACAGCAGTGGCAAAGTCTTGTTTTAATACAGTGAACACGCACGTAGGTTCACATGAAATGAGATAATTTGTTCCCTGTGGATGTTGCCCATATGAGGTAATAGTGACTATTTTAAAAGGAACTGACATCTAGCGATGGGAAGTTATATTTTCACCCTTCATTGTTATGAGGTCATGAATGAATGCTCCTTTACCAGCTAAGTTTTGATACAAAATAAAAGTATGTGTCACAGAATGACAGTCCCGTAACATGACCTTTGAGAGCAAAGATGGTCCTGAGGTCAAATAAATGTTGGAAAATGCTGTAAAATTATAAGTATCCACTTCTTAGGGAGTTAAAATGCACATTAGCATCTTTCATATTCTGAGAAGTGCTTATAGCAATGACATCTGTTTAACTTTGAAAAACTCAGTATTTCCTAAAATTTATAATATCCCATTACTGGTATTCAAAAGGATATACTAGAAAAAACAAATATGTTTGGTCCTTTGGAAATTCGTAAGTAGTACTTTCGAAAATAGACTTGAACTTGGCCTTTGAAAAGTTTATGAACAGGAAAGAATACAGAATAAATTGCAATTCTCATGCCAAAATATACATTCATTTAAATTCAGTAACTGCCCACCAATCCTTAAAGTCACATTGGAGAAATATCTTCCATTCAACATGCACATGTGGAAATGTGTGTTTAAGCATGTATATGTGGAGATGTTTTACATCAGTCAAACAATGCAGGAACCCATATAGGACTCTGGCTGTATCGGTTAAATGGAATTGCTAAGGTGTGTTCTAAATTTTTTATATACTCATTATTATTCAGGTCAAGAAAATATTACTGAATTTCAAAACAGTTTCTGCTGGAGGGAACTACTGTAAAATTGCATCAACTCATTAACCTAAATTCAAACTGGCATGTTCCCAACTTGGACTTACCACTGCCACAGCATTTGAAAGCAACAGTTCCTCAGCACTAATGGTCGTAAAGTAGGCCACATTTGTTAGCACGTAGCCAGTAGTGACGATGGCCATGGATATACAGATTGCAAGGGGGATGGTTCTGAAATGCACAAAGGAATTGCTTATTAGTCATCTTTCGTGAGTCATTCTCTGAAAGCAAAGACGATACGATAACAGGCTGATTTGAACGAAGAGTAAAATAGGATGTACAATAATTACAGGGTCTGTTGTGTATGCATATTTTACGGGGGAGAAGGACTACATATTCCTTTGTAATTTGATAAGGTCCATGGGATCACTTACTTCATTTGCCTTGTCTACTGCTCTACCCTCAGAACAAAAGGGTCTATCCCATTCTCGTACTCCTTTAATGCTATAGCAGTGTTTCTCACGCTTGAGCGTGCAGCCCTCTCCTGGAAGGCTTGTTGAAACACAGTTTTCTGAGCAATCTTGAGTTTCTGATTCGGTAAGATCTGCATTTCTAACAAGTTCCTGGGCAATATCTATGTGGCTGGCCAGGGGGCCACTCTTTGAGAACCATGGTCCTATGTACATCTCTAATACTAATTTACTGCCTTGACATCTTTCTAATACTTAACCCCAGAAAGGTCTTTCCCATTCAGTTTTTCCCCTTCAGCAGCTTCCCTGATCAGCAAATAAGTTGCACACTTTTGGAAGCATGAGAGCAAGATATATCTACCTTTCTCAATGATAGTAATAATAATTTCAAATATAACACAAAAAGCACAGAAGTGCTCGCAATAATGACTTTGCACTGCCCTGCTGTGAGTTCAAAGGAAGCTGAAGATCATGAGTATCTATTAAAGCAACAGTGCAGATAATCCCATGAAATTAAGAGGTGACATGCTGTGAAGTACATATGACCGGACAGTGCTGACACTCTGTGGCATCAAGAAGTACCCGGCACAAATGCAATGTTATGTCTTCATTTAATGCACTGGGAAAGCCTGGAGTTACTGACCCTAATAATTTGATTCCATGTTACCGATACACATTACTTGCTTAACATAATCACCTCTTCAGACTCTTTCCAGTTCAAGCAACTTAAAGCTTTAGCTCCCTGCACAAAGGCTGATGGGTTTTTTCGCCATAGAGCTTATCAGCTCTCATGGAGCCTTAAGCCTGCTGGGTGCCACTAATGAAGACCTCAATATAATTTCTTCCAAGATGAAAATACAGTTCAGAACGGGGAGGGTGGGGGAGGAAGGCACAACCTGTCTCACTCCCCAAGCTGGGTATGTTTAGCAAACAAAGTCCCAGCTCATTATGCTGAACAGCACTATCTCCCGTCGAGAACAGGCAAACCTAGCCAGTCAGCAACTGCCATTCATTATGCTGCTTGGAGCCTGACACTTCCCCTGATCCCCAAAGCCTTAAGCCTTGATGGGGGAACACAATGACCTCTAAATCCTGGCATCCTAATATAAAAGTAGCAGATGTTCCCTTTCCCCAGTGTGAAGAGGGTCCTGTGGAATTTTCTGTTAACTCCATCACATGCATTGCTAGTTGTGATTGATAAGCACTACATTTAAGCAGAGGAAATCACTGGGCCAATTAAATATAAAGCATTGAATGGCATAAGACATATTAAAAATGAATTCTGTTTCTTTGAAAGGAAGGCTGTATGTAAATGCAAAGGGCTAAGAAGGCAAACTTGAAGGTAGATGTGCAGCTTTTCAACTGCTTGCTGTATTATTTTAAACCCGAGTCTTTTCCATTTTTATAACATCCCAAATGGTGTATTAAGCTCTTTCTCTGGGGGGAGAGAAGTGGGGAGGGAGATGGGGGGAGAGAAACTCTCTATTCCTTGCAAGAACGGGATTAAGAAGTATAAAGTTCCTGTTAATAAAAGCTGAGGTGACACTGTAAGTGCACAGGAGTAGCTTACCTGTCCAGGACAGGTAGTACTGTCACATCATACGAGGCTACAAATTAGCAGGGAGAAGGCAGTCTGAAATTTGGGCTGTGGCCCTCCCCGCATAGAATCCAGCCTCCAAGCTCTGCTCTTCCAAGGCGGCCTCCCTGTTTTCTGCTTAGAGATTATGGTATGTCTGAGGGAAGTTTTCTAAATTGATTTTAGCAGAAGGAATACTAAAAAAAATATATATATGCAACTTTTTTTTCTCAGCTTGTCAATAACAAAAAAACCCCACAGCAATAGCCATTGCCATTTACCTGGTGGGTGTTATGTGCCTGATATTTTATTAGGTGCTTTACATATTTGCCTCGTTTTATCTTCCAAAAGTCCTGTGAGTTAGGAACATCATCACCATTTTATATGTAAGGAAATGAAGTCTTGGAGAGTTTAAATAACTGGTTAAGGATATACAACTGGTAAATGGGAACCCAGAATTCAGCTGATCCGTCCTAGCTGAAGTCATAGCATTGTAACCACTAAAGTGAACTTTCTCTCATGCATGTGGACTCTCGGTCTCATAATTATTCATTTTCAGAGAAATCATAATTGCTGAATATAACGTTTATTGCAAAGCTCTTATCAAGCCAGTATTTCTCATACAGTCATTGAAAATGCACCTTTATTTACTATAAGGAAGGGAAAAAAAACATATTCCATGATTTTTATAATTTTTCTGTGTAACATGAACTGGAATGTCAAGTGAATGTTTGCCAAAGTTTCAATGTTTAGAAAATGAGGTATTCTTTAGATTTAAAAGACAACAGAAGCTCACTTAACACATTTCCCTAGACATGGGCACCTGGGTAGCTCAGTCAGTTAAGCATCAAGCTTCGGCTCAGGCGACCATCTCACGGTTTGTGGGTTCAAGTCCCGCACTGGGCTCTGTGCTGACAGCTCAGGACCTGGAACCTGCTTCAGATGCTGTGCCTCCCTCTCTCCCTGCCCCTCCCTCCTTCCCCCACTTATGTTGTGTCTCTGTCTGTCTGTCTGTCTGTCTCTCTCTCTCTCTCAAAAACAAAAATTAAAAAAATAAAAATAAATTTCCCTAAACAGTTTTTCCAGGAAAAGGAGGAAAAGCAAGCATGTCTGCCCCAGAAGCCAAAATGTGTAGATTATTAACAATTTTACTATCAGCTCAGATATACTACATAGAGATTAGACCAAAAAATCAAAGGAGCTCACAATATAAGACAAAAGAGAGAAAGGGTCCAACCTTGTGGCAATTCATAGGTCCAGAAGCAGTTCCTCTCTAAGTGAATTAGGCCATGAGTATGGGAGGGGGTATGGCAAAAGAGCCACTATCTTCTGTCCTTAGGTTCCATTTCACTTTGACAAAGGGAAGGAAGGAGGAGAAGGGTTTGTGGCTGCCTTGGCATAAACAGCAATCAATTACAGAGGAAAGCAGTTGACGTGTTCAGAAGGGTTTGGCACCATGTGGTTAACTCCTGGGTTTCAAGCACCAAAGCTTAAGAGCCACTGGGTGAGCTGATAAAAGCTATTAGGCCATCCAGAGCAGTCTTTCTGGAGGCTTTAGATGCAGAGGGCAGATAAGCACGGTTACAAACTCCAGATTAAGGTAAATGGCACATAATAAAACGAATTAAAGGAACTAGTAGACCACTGATATTTCAAAGCCTCTGTGTTATTGTGAGGTATCCTCCAAGTTTAAGTGCAACAAAAGCATTGTCTTTAAGCTGAGTAAAAATGACTCACACCTATGAGCTCTACTTTTTCAAATGTTTATGCATGTTTGTTATGATGAATAAAACACAAATGTACTGAGAAGAGTCACTTACACCTTAAGACCTCTAGTCATTATACATGGTCTTCTCAATTAAGGGCCATTAAGTCTGTGAGAATCCAATAATTGTATTAGCTGCACTTAGTTTTCAGCCAAAGGGTCTTGGATAGTCTTCTTTTCCCGTGGGTTTATTTTAAGTTAGCACCTATAACCAGTCTATGTCACACATGGATAAATATTTGCTTTATTTGAAATTGTTAAATAGAAGTGTCTGGAACATCTGCTTAAAAGTGCTTCATTCTAAGGAATAGACTTCCTCAGGAATCCTGAAAGTCCCCAAAGTAATGGCTGGTAGCTTACAATTGTGTAATCTACAAAGCACTGACAAATAATGTTTTATCTTCAAATATCCGCATACCATTTCAAATCCTTTGTGGAATGAGAAAGAGAATATAAACAAATTACAAACAAAATTCACAACAACCGAGTGAAATAAGAGCTTCCTGAAACGATTCCCACCGTTTTCAAATGAGGGACCCAAGGCTCAGAAAGGTTAAGTGATAAGACCAAGGCCATAAAAATCTTAAGTGGGAGGGCTGCAACTTGAGCCTACATCTTCCAGCTCGAAGATTCACATTCATGACATATCCTGTCATGATTTCATGGCTGCTTTGTGCCTACTTTACCTCCCTGTACAGGATCCCTAGGATTCTTATATGCTGACAAACATGTTATATTTTATATAAGTAGTACAAATATCAGAAGGCCGAATGTAACAATGTGACACATTTTAAGCCAAGTGCGTTTCTTCATGCACCCAACAGCCATCGCAAACAAACTTGCATATGATGCAGCATGAGAATGCGTGTTTTAATACTATTTGCAACTGTATGACAAAGTGTCAGAAATGACCACTGTTTCCGGTGCTTTATATTAGCTAAAAAACAAAACAAAACAAAACAAACAAACAAAAAAACCTCTTGCTACAAAGGCAGATTGAGTAAATCTAGCTGGCTCTCCAAAGACTTGAGGATACCTGAAGGTTACACGGATTTCTGATTTTTCAACCCATACGAGTAATTCAGTAATCACTTGAATTCAGGATAGTCCTAAAATTGTTTTATATTTTGATCAAAATCTTCTGAGGTTTGTGTGAGCCGAAATAAGTTTCATACAATCCTCTGTGTTGGACACACATGGTGGGGACCACACAACTCACTGATCCTGGAGCATCTGAAATTGTCTTTGAGCCATGGGACAGGGAATGATGACAGTCAGTCAGTTCTGTTAAAGCCTAATCTTCTGTGTTCAAAAATCATCCAAGAGAAGTGATTGATACTTCACACTTTCTTTTTAAAACTCATTCATATTTTAACATGCACATGTGATATTCAGGAGAAAGGAGGGAGGAGAGAAACGG